AAACTTTCTATCAATTTAAAATGCAAATTGAATAAATTCTATAATATTTTCATTTTTCTCATATTTATGAAAAAATATGTATGTATCTTCATTTTTTATTAGATTTTTAAATGTTTTTATAATATATTGTAAAGTGAAAATCTAACAATACTCTACACAATTGCATGTACGTTCATAGCAAATAAACAAATAACTTTAAATTTCTTTTTCAGAAAAAAATAAAAAAAAAGTGATAGAAAGAGACACTCACAACCCACAAGTAACAAATCTAAAGAGAGAGAGAGAGCCATGCGAATACCAAAAATTAATCTGAATTTCGAGAGCTGTCACTTCAGGCTTACTTCAGGCTTGCTGGAGAAACAACAGCTGGAGAAACAACATCAAAGAGAGGGATTTAAAATAATGCTAATTCACCTCAACCTGTTTTAACCTTTACCTAATTTATTAAAAAAAAAAAATTTTTCATTGGCCGGTCGGGGATGAAAAATTTATGTTTCTGCTCTTTTATATAGATATAAATAGATTATTCACCCTTTTTTTTTTATATTTCTGTTTCTACTCTTTTATATAGATATATAGATTATTCACTTTTTTTATAATAAGCCCTAGATTCCTTTCCCTTTATACTAATAGAAGCAAGCTTTTAATTTACTTTTATTATTAATGTTTAGATTTGCTCATATATAAATTTAAACCTTAATTACCAAAGATGATCGAAGTAGATAATTTTGCTCTCCTTTAAAGCTATTGTGAGAGTCTATTAAAAATCATTTTCTATTTGATAGTAATTTAAATAAACGTTTTTAAGGAAAAAAAAATTTAAGATATAGAAGTTATGATTATTCCTAAAAATATCTTATAAAATTTTGAAAAATATTCATATTAATATGAATTCAAAGTATATTGAATAATTTTATCATCTATATTGTCATTTGCTCATATCATCAATTATTTTTTAACATTATAATTTTCTTATAAGTTTATCATCAACAGGGAATCAAGTAATCAACAGGGAGTAATGGATATCCCAGAGAAATACAAACATCTATGGGAATATTGGGATGTTCATGCCTTCATTTTGCTCAGCATCTTCATCCAAATTGTCCTCTTTTTTCTTGGCCATTTTAGAAAAACTTTTGCTTTGAGATGGATGCAAATTGTCTTATGGGGTAGCTACCTCATTGCCGACTTGCTTGCCAACTTCGTTCTCTTCCACCTATGCAATGCCATGGATGATTTCTCATTCTCCAATGCTATTATCGCATTTTGGGGTCCCTTCCTCATCCTCCACCTCGGTGGCCCCGACACTATCACAACTTACTCCATAGAAGACAATGAGCTTTGGGCCCGCCATCTTCTCGTCCTCGCCTTTGGGCTCATCTTTACCTTTTATGTCCTCTTTCGTTCCCTTCCAAACATACGCTTACTTGCCCCCACCCTTTTGATATTTTTAGTTGCAATCATTAAAAATTTAGAGCGCTCTTACTCACTTTACAAAGCTAGTGCTAATGGCTTTCGCAACTCCATTAGCTCCTCTTATAGAAAACTATCACTAGAAGATTTGAACCCTTCGAATCAAGCTTTTTATTTATACTCTACTTGTAGGCCTTTCTTCATCAATCTTAGTCCACACTTGGAGTTGTATACTAAAACAAGAAATTTGATAAATGATATGCCAACAAAGGAGATTTGGAGGGCGATGAGTATGGTACTTGGTTATGTTTATGATGAGTTTTACACCAAGGCAATTATAAATCACTCTATAGTTGGGTATGGTCTTCGGGTTCTATGCTCCATTTGTATTTTCTTGGCTTTTTGGCTTTTTCATATAGTGCCCAAGGATGATTTTGGCAAGTTTAATGTGACCATCACTTATATTCTTCTTCTGACAACTACGTGCCTCGATATCACGGCTACTATTATGCTTGTGTTCTTGAATTGGATGGTTTCTTCTCTACTCAGTTTTAAGAAATTAAGAAATTGGAGTGTGTTGCTTGCTAATTGCATTGTTAGAATTCAAATTGCATGGCATAAGAGAAGCCATTGGTTGATAAAGATGCCACAGTTGAGTTTACTCAATAATTGTCTCAATATTTCTGCACCAAATGGAGCTCTTCATAAAAGTATGATGAATTGGATTGTAGAAAAGCTAGGCTTTGCGCAGGAGGCAAAGTTGTATCCAGGATGGAGAACTATTATAAATGAAAGTTATACATTGCAGACGTTGCTGCCAGCACATGCAAACGAGGAGATTATTAAGATTATTATTTCAGATGTAAAAAATTGTTTAACAGTAATCTGTTATGATCAGGTTGTCCCAGGATATGCTAAAATTTT